TGATTTGATGATTAATTTTTAGTATGTGTTTCATTTGTAAGTATTTTTGAATACATATAATCGTTAAATAAAACCATTCAACTGTAACATGTTGCTCTTGACTCATCAGTATTTCGTTTCCTATAAAGACCAATTATTTTTTATACACTACTCATTTTATTTTATAAAGTATCAGAAATATTATGTCCACTCGCAGTCGATATCGAAGTCAAGAATTCTACAATCCCACTCGAACACTCGGTCGACGTACACTTTTCCCAAGCCAATCTCCAATTTTACAAACAATAATTTCCGCTGGACCTCCAAATAGAAAAAAAGCATTTCCTGAACTAGTTGGCCTAAGTGTTGACGAAGCATTTGCTTATCTTTCTGCACGAGGTATTCTTTTCTTCTTTTTATCTATTAATATGTAATATTTCGTATATATCAATTGTTTACGTTTATATTTAAGGTCTTAGGCCAGTCATTGCGACACCGGATGCTTTCAGAGTAAAGGAATATAAACCTCATCGTGTTCGTATTGAAACGGATCCAGCAGAACGTATAGTTATTAAAGTACCCAAAATTGGTTAAACATAAATTGTATTTTTAAATTTAAATAAAAATATCATAATCAACATTTGTATTTATTTTTGATTTTTAAATAATAAATTGTTAATAGAAAATATAGATTTTCTTCTCAGATGATCAATACTAATTCTACAATTTATCTTCTCTCCAAAAAATGATGACTTGCATATAGTCATCTAATGATGTATAATTAACATTTTATATCCTTGTGTTTTTTATGAAAAAAAGTCATAAACCTTTTTAATGACGGAAAGAGAAAATGAAGAACGTTAAATTATTTCATAATAAATAACTTTGACCTAATGGTAGTATTATTGGGAAATATTAATTAAATATTTGTGACGTTTTTGAAAGAAATTTCGCAGTTGAATTTCTTTTTTCTTTTTCTGCTATAATGCGTAAAGGTAATATATTATCAAGCAATTCATTATTGTTTCTATTACACACTCATGTTTTGATGATTCGTGATATTTCAATTTATATGACAGTGAATAAACTATATCAGGTACATAAATATTCTTGTATTCGATCGTTATTTTAGTCATATTTGATAGCGTGAGGACAGTAAAACGAAATATCATGTTTTCTACAATGAATAATAGTCAACGATCATTTCCTGAATTAGTTGGTCGAAGTGCACATGAAGCAGTTGCATATATATCTGCTAAAGGTTTTATTTCTTTTTTATCGATATTTTATACTTTACAAATTTATTCTTTATATTTTTAATTAAGGGTTACATCCTCAAGTTTTGAGAGCAAATGATCCTATGACTAGAGATCTACGCATGGATCGTGTTCGCATTATTGTTGATCCAACTCGAACATACGTCATTAAAGCACCTACTCTTGGTTAAATCGTATAACTTTCAACTTATTCATTCATTTATAAATCTTTTTTTTCGTATAATTTACTTTTGATTAAATATAAAACTAAACATAATAATTTAGAGTTAGAGATCTGAGAAACATGCATTATTTTGGTTAAAACAGTTCTAAATGCAACATTAATTAGCAATTTCTCAGCTTTTGAAATAATTCTCATTGATAAATTAAGAAGTTGAGAAAAGATTAGAAAGACAAAAAAAAAAGAAACAAACATGTAATTAATACCACAGGTATATTTGTTATTTTGTTTTTTATTATTTATTATATCAAAATGAATATACCACGTGTAATTAATCATCCAGAACCAATTTTCTATGGTCCCCCTTTTACGGTATTTTAATAGACGTGAATAAATCTTATGTTAATATAGTATTCTTTTGTTTTTCATTTTAATCGATATTACAATATTTTAATATCATTTCTCAAAGTATGACGACACAATATTATTAAAGATTCTTTTCTTTTGTTATCATATATGAATTCTTCATTTTTGGTTTAAGACCTGTCATTTTAAAATCTAATGCTGTGATGACCATGGTCTACTGATCAGATTGTGTAATTCTTATGGTTAGTTTAACTAGACATGTCATTATCCGACTGAATAGATCGAGTATGAAACATATATCATAGTGTTTTGAGGGTCATTCAATATTTTAAATAATATTTGATTATTATTCATGAAAAAAAGTGACTGTATTTTGTTTATACTATTCATATAAAATCTTAAATAATATTATCTATTAAAATTTCAAAATATAAATAAAAAAATCGATGACTTTACTTAGGAAGATTGTTTTACGCCTACATACAAATTCACTTGTTATTTTCGGATTTCACGCGATTTGTATTGAATATTAGTCAGATGAAAAATTTCTCACGATACTATAGATAACAAACTGATCGTTTGTTAACACAATAATAATGACAACAACAAGTTGCGGGTATAAATAGAGAGACACGATGGCCTATAATACTTTTTAAGAACATTTCAAGATGCTTGCTCATCTTTTTATTGCCTGTAGTTTTTTTATTGGCATTATCTTTACTAATCCTATCAAAGATTCAATTGATTATGAATTACTTGGTAAACATTGATATAGATCATGCTTTTACATGCATAAAATTTCTCTTAGGGGGTGGAGTCGAAGGGGATATGTTTTTCCCCGATGGATATGATCCAACAAAGAATCATTCCGATGCAAAAGGTGTAGCTGCTTACGGAAATCGCCTATGGCCAAACAATGTTGTTCCATATGATTTATCTTCGATCATAGGTAAGATTCATCTTGCGAACTTCTGTCAATGAAAAAGAAATTACAAATTGATAGATGCTGGACATCGTAGCATTGTCCTACAAGCAATCGATGCATTAATGAATGCAACAAGCACAATAATTCCAGGAACAACAACACGTAAACCATGTATTACTATTCGACCAAGAACAGCAAGTGATCCAGTCTTTGTTAAAATTCAATATGGCACTGGATGTAGTGCATCGGTAAATTTACATCAAAACAATATTTTTGTCCAAAAGTTTTTTTTCCTTTCTTCAGGTAGGATATGGTTCAGGTACAAGATCAATGACATTAGAAAATCCTGGTTGTTTTCGTTCCGGCACTATTCAACATGAATTTTTACATAGTCTGAGTACGTATTATTCGAAATTCTTCATAGGTAAATATAGTGAGATATTAAATTTTATTTATCAATAAACAGGTATTTATCATGAACAATCACGTCCTGATCGTGATGATTATATTACTGTCAATTATGCTAATATGGATCCAAGCAAAGTAAGTTTTTAAAAGAAGAATAAAGTCATATTAGAACTTACTTCATATTTCTAGGCACACAACTTCAACAAATATGTTTGGGGTAGTACTGCGCTCGATCAAAATACACCTTACGACTACGGAAGTATAATGCATTATAGTGCCAGTGGTTTTTCTAATAATGGATTACCAACTATTACACCAAAAGATCCAAATGCAAAAATTGGTCAACGAGTTAGCCTTAGTGCAATAGATATTGCTGAAGTTCGTGCCCTTTATAAATGTTCGAGTTAAAAATCTTATTCATTAAAATATAAAATTAGATGTTTAACATCATTCGTAGTCTATATTACTGATTCAAAAGTTAAAAAATGAATTTAATTTTCTAAGAAAAATATCATTCAAGTTTAGTAATAGATTTCCATTGTGATAAAAATAATAGTCTTCTAATATGTCTGATTCATTACCGAACAATTTAGCAAATACTCTCTTTTAATGAAATTCTGATTTCATATTTATCTGTTTCACGAGTCTGACGTACCAGTTTTGATATATCTCACAATTTAATTATCGAAGGCAATAGTTATTATTTTTTATTAATGATCAACATGTCTATTCTCCAATAAAATTAATACATTTAAACATATTGTAATGGAAAATTTTCCATCATTACTCAAATTGACTAATTATAATTTCTACTAGAATTCTTCTATAGTTTAATATAGTGATGTATGTGTATGGATATATTTTGTATTTTTATTTTCTTTATGCTCGAAAACGATAACAAGAGAAATAAGTAACCATCTGTCAGCATATTTTTTCTATCAAGACTCGATATTTTTAAAAATCGTGTGTTTGACAAACAGTCAAAAGTACTTTTATCTTTGATTATTTGTGAATATTATCATGATGTTATCATAAATTGAAACCAATAAAATATCAGTTTATCGCTATAGAACAATATAATCTAATTTTATAAGTAATAAATATGATGATGTATGTCGTCTGTGTTTTGGTTCAAAATAAAATTTAAATGTAAAATATTTATTCAAACTTATAGATGGATGTAATTGTAGTGCAAAAATAGTACGGAACTCTAAAAAAAAAGTATTGTTACCTTAATGAATACGAAAATGGCAATGGCATTTGCTAATTCTATTTGTGTATTAACTAATAATAACTAAGGCATATTTTTGATACATTTATTTGATTGACATTCACAAGAATTAGAATAGATTATGTTTTTTAAAAAATTCAAGAGTTATTGATAATAATTTCAATGAATTTTATCCTTCAATTACAGGTTTTGATTACGAACAATCATTTTCTAGCCATGGTTCACATATTATAATGAACTATACTAATATCTAACGTTATGCAGTAATGTATGAAACATACGGACATGTTCCAGTCGTTTGGATTCTATCCTCTGATCATAAATGGATATGAACGAAATATGGAAATCCTGCAAAGAATTCATGCTGCATTCTTTCTTTCTTGAGATACTGAGTTTTCAGGATAATTATGAAATATCACGAGCTATTTATATATACGCTTCTCTAACAGAATATATAAACATATACACAAGAGATGTTAATAAAAACAAGTATTTGATGCATCTTCGCAGTTCAAGAAGCAGCATCTTTTGTAAACTGTGGAACTTGTATAGATTTTGTCGACGTACAGTTTATAAACGAAGTCACACTAAGAAATTAATATATATTCTACTTCTATATAAAGTTTTATTCTCATCAATATGGACATTTCATTATATCGTTTACTTTGTGCCCACATGCTACTAATTTATTATTACTTTTCTATGAAAAACTAAAAATAAATAATCAATATTTCTAAACAGCTCTATATTTTTGCTCAACAGTACTTTTTTAGAATAGAGACATTATCCTCCACTCTCTCAGATACTTATGCACATATTAATCTGATATAGATACGGCATGAAAATATTCATAACAAAGACTAAGATACTCCCTAATTATTGTAAGTAATTAATCTATAATAATAATGGGATCCGATATAGTAATTATTCTTTCTTTTGTAATGAATCATAATTTTTTTGACATATTTCATTTAGGCTTATGGTGGTAATGAAAAAATTTTCAACTATTCTGATCATAGATAAACAGAGAATAACACTAATATATGTATTTATTTATATCTCGAAGTACTGGTTCTGTTCCTCAATTACTTTCATGTATATGAATATATATATATATACAGGTATTCTATTCATTTAATATGGATGACTTTATCAATTGTAGACATTATTCTTTAATATTGGAACAGAAAGAATAATTCATTATATTGATAAAATAAATTTTGTCTCTCATTCTATTCCTCTATGTTTCTGTTGAGTGTCTGTCGTTCTTATTCAATATAACGAAAATCTATTTCTTCAGACATAATAATATAAACGTGAACGTCTTTTGTACAATACATATCTTTTCAATATGTATTTTTTGTCCTACTGATGAGTGCTACTGCTCATACTGTGTTATCAAGAAAAACAGAGTTCCAATAGGCACATTTTCTTTTTCATCAGTTTTATTTTACTTTCAAAAAAAATACAGAAAGAAGCTATAATTTCTTTTTTATGTTTTCGAGGTTTTCTCTATACATTTTAAGATCAGAATGACTTATTGGTAATGATTGCTCTCCAATTTGTATACCACGTTCATAAAATGAATGCGCTTTTGCATAGTTGCTCATATTCTCATACACCTGACCTATGTTGTTATAGGAAGCACCCAAATCAGGATAATTGGAAGGAAGTGATTGTTCTCGAACTCCAAGGGCTTCTGTATGGGATGAAAGTGCTTTTGGATAATCACCCATGCTATTATACGCCAAACCAATGTTGTTATAGGACATCGCCAAATCAGAATAATTGGAACGAAGTGACTGTTGTTTGATTGCAAGGGCTTCTGCATGGGATGAAAGTGCTTTTGGATAATCACCCATGTTCTCATACATCTTACCGATATTGTTATAGGATATAGCCAAATCGGGATGATTGAAAGGAAGTGATTGTTGCTTGATTGCAAGGGCTTTTTCATGAAATGAAAGTGCTTTTGGATAATCACCCATGTTGTAATATACATTGCCGATGTTATTATAGGAATCTCCCAAATTAGGATGATTAGAAGGAAGTGATTGTTGATTAATTGCAAGGGTTTTCTCATAATAAGA